CTGTAGCTAGTTTCTCCTCACAAGCTGTCAGGCGCTCCTGTGATGTCCGACATTCACTTTGTAAATTCAGACATTGTTGGAGTATCATCGCCTTTTCTGCCTTGCAACCGTCCAGCTCCTTTAATGTGATCTGCAACTGTTGTTGTAGCACACCGTTGTCTGAACACACGGATTGGTACACACGGTCTTTATCCCTGGCTTCCGATAGTGACGCCTCAAGAACTTGTATTTTGCTGTTCATTGAATCAACTTCTGCACGCGCATCTTGCTGTAATTGAAACATCTGTTCATAATGTTTCGTCATGAGGACCTCGTGTTCACTTCTAAATTGAAGGTAGTGATCTTCAATTTTCTGAACCACCTCTTTTTCACTGTTTAACCTTATTGCAAGGTAATCAGCTTTCTCAACAACCGTATAGAATGATTCTTTCAGCAAAATTGCGATTTTAGCCAGCTTTTCATAACTTGACTTTGTAATTTCTGTAGAGGTCACGCTTTCTGCGACCTCCTTCAGATTGTCCAATAACTCTTTTGGGTTCATGCTCTCCGCCTGCTTGATCTGTGGATGTAAGGAATCTGTCAGAAGCGCTAACGCATTCTTTAAACAGTCCCTTATCCCATAAGCATCAAAATCTTTTTCTACCACACCTGTCATGTTTTTCACTGTGTAGCACTTTATCTGTTAAAAACAGTTGCAAGCTTCAGATATTTTACAGGTAAATATTTGTATTCGAGTCAATGAGTTTTCACACTATTTTAGCTTTTTGGGTTTACACAGAAGTACTGTTATAAAGTCAACTTATTCAAATGTGGGTACCTTTCTCAGGTTTTACCCCAATTCATGAATATTTAAGTAAATGCTCTCGGCAGTGTTACTTGTATGTGCTTATTTTTCAACAGGTACTAGTTACCAAGCTCTTTTTAGTGTATTTTACTCTAAAGCACTGAATTTTTAATAAACCTGCAATTTTTCTAAAAGTCTCACAGCAAATCAGTTTAAAGCGTTTTTTAAACCGTTCTGTTCCAGAAATTTGCTATTTTAACAGTTACTCATAGAAGCAAGTGGTGAAAAGAAAAAGAACAGTTGATGATGTATCAGGATTAATCAGTCCTTCCTCAGAAAAACTGTTATTCCTGTTCTCCTGTCTCATCCTCTATTTAAAATTAAATAGGAAGATTTATTTTTAGGTGGTAACTTAAACAGAAAAGTTTCTTTTTCCTGATAAGTTTACTCTTATTTAGTGATCTAGCAATTAAACGTGTATTATCTCTCCAGCAAATGAGTAAACTGTTCAACTCTGTGAATATTTGAACCGTTTCTTTTAAAAAGTTTCTAATTTTATTTTGTACCTTTTTCTTAAGGAATTATCAGTGAATAAAAATGTGTTCGGTAAATGCTCTTTGCATAAATACCTTTTTTACTTTTTAAATGCAAGATAACAGTGATTATTCAGCTTTGAGGAACGTTTATTAACTCAAAAATGCCTTACAGAAAAATAAAAACGTTTAATTTCACTCTTTAAACCTAAAAAGCGAAGTGAAAACCTGTGATCTTCACGTTTATCCAGAAGGTGTCAGTACAACCTTATTAATTTTAACTCAGACACTGTTAGTGTTGTCCAGTAGGGGAGCTATAACTTCCTGTGGCGTCCGGTCGTTAGCTGTTAGCTAAAAATTAGCATCGGCTAGACTCGGATAAAACCAACATTTCTGAACGGATTTTTTACACAAGCGTGGCAAAATTTTAGCAATTAGACTTCAAAGAACCTAAACAGCGTTTCAGAACACAGCTTTAAAGCGCTTTTCAGCTTTAAAAAGCAGATTTTATTTCCCTATGAAAACGAGTTTCCATTTCCGGGTCACGTGACTGAAATCACCAATTACAGAGCAGCACGGGGGTGAGAGGAAATGACGTAGCCACGTCATTCACTTCTCAGCGAATCAGAGCGCTCCACAGCAGCAAAATTCCACCAATCACAAAACGTTTCAGCAACTAGCATGATAGATTAGCATGAAATAAGTTCGTCGACTTTTCGTCTTTTAAACTGTCAAAATGCACTTTTTCTGTTAAAAACTGTAACGAATCAACTCTGAGCTGTACGGAGTCTGCTACTCCGGTCTCAAAAACGTCTTTCTAGCTATTTAAACAACTCGTCCGAACCTTTTTCAGAACCGAGCCGGTCCAACAGAACCTCCGTCCGTTTGGACCACAGTTTAAACAGAATAACGTTTTCCACAAAACCCAGCTTTTAGTTACCATAACAGGCGTACAATTTCAGCTTTCACAAGACATATGACACTATTTCAGCTTTCAAAACATCACTAGCCCAACACGCTTAAACATGCAGCGTTTTGACTTCAAAGCGGCGCAGCTTGAGCTGCGTTTCAGCACAGCTGATAAACTGTTACTTTCCTTCATGCCAACATGTAAAAAACAATCTTTACACGAATACACAGTCATTTATGAGCACGTAGCGGGCCACCAACTGTAGTATGACATAAGCTGGATATGTTCATACATTTTTCACGAGTTCTTCATCTTTCTGACTGTGTAAATGTCGTGCGTTGAGTTTAACAGAAATGCGAACGAGAGACGTTATTATCTTTGACCCATCAAATGAATGCGGTCATTTATTTGCAGAATCAAAGTTTAACATCAAACATTTACATTAATTTGGCAAAATATGAAAACAATAACAATGGCAAGTTCACAGAAAGTTGGAACAATACGGCGATTGTTCTCACTTTCAGCAGAACAATAGACATCAATCACACGGCGGTGATTGAGAACTTTGCTTCAGATATTTCTAAAATATCTGTAATGATTTTAGGAGAGAGTTTAAGATGGAAAATGGAGATTTATCTTACAGAGAGATGTGTGAGGGAATTAATCTGTTTGACCAGAAACGTGCACGCTCTTTGGGGAATCAGCTTGGCCACGGTACACTTGGTCGAAAATAGAACCTTCTACCTGGTTGATGATAAAATCAGCGTCGGCGTAGGGTTCCTTTCTGACTCTTTCAGCGTCTCCATGAGGACAGCCAAACCCTTAGAGAGTCGTGCGAGGTTATCCAAACAGAAGTTATACTCCCAAAATCCTCTCTGCATCCTGGAATGTCAGAATTCTGAACTCCTTCAGAACTCTCTTCAGGTATTAAACTCTGGAATTCTTCTCCATGAGCTGCATCAGAGAGTTTTTCGTCTCTCTTCTCCAGGAGAACTGTCACTCTTTTTCTCTTTTTCTCTTTAACTCTGTTACTCTCTTACGAGAACCGGGAAGTTGCCACATTTAAAATGAGTTGACTTCCGGGTCATTTTAGAGCTTTCTGATTGGTGGATAGACCAGATCAGAGGTGTGGTTTGTGATGTAAGGTGTTATCAAAGTCAAGGGCAGAGAATGAGATTGTTTAAAAACAGACAGAAAGATTATTGGAGAAAACCAGACTTCGTGGAGTCAAACTCTCTTGTATCTTCTGTGAAGATTAAACATGACATT